GGGCGGGGCACCGCTGCGCAGCGCCCGCTGGCTCCCTGCAGGGGCGGGGGGCGGCCGGCGGGCGCTGTCCTGGCGCCTTGCTGCCCCCTTCCGAGCCCTCGCTCCTCTCCCCTCTTCTCTCCTATTTGCCCCGAGCCGAGGAAACCCATGTTAGTTCTCACTGGCTTTCCCCGTAAAGAAGGCTTATATCATTTTAGTTGGCAGGCCCAGGCCCAGGCCCATGCATCCCCAGTGGCATAACAAATAGGCCTGGGGCCCACGGTGGCACAGAGCAGACCCTGAAGGGGAGAGCGGGCTGGGTCTGACCTGGGGATTTTCCCCTGTGACACTCCCCCTTCCAGTGCAGGTCGAGGAGAGTCCGATTCAGAGGCTGTGCCCCTCACTCCCCTGCTCAGTAGCTGCTGCTGCCCCGGTTTGTCTCCTGGCCCTTTCTGGCACTGCTTCAGCGCCTTCTCAGGTTTGTCCCTCCAGCTTCTGGGTGCAGCAGTCACCGCTTGCTCCCAGCCTTGGTTACAGAGCCTCAGGCACACCGCTGGGACTCTGGTTTGGCCGTGAGAGGATGCACTGGGGTCATCTGCCTCAGTGATGATGCCCTTGGGTGCCAGCCCGTGCACATGGTACTGAGGGGAGTGTTACTGGTCATACCAATTACATCAGCTTCAGCGAGCATTTGTGCATGCCCAGGAAATATCTCACAGCTCTGCAGGCGGGTCCCTGGCCAGACCTGGCCTAGCATGGAGCATGGCATCCATACAGCCTGGCAGGGGTGCAGAACTGGAATAGCAGGAGGGGTGAGGGGCAGTGTTCAGGCCCTTGGTTTCAGCAGCTTGGACTCTACAGATCCAGACTGCGCCTCATTCGTGATGCAGTGGAAAACCCAGCACAGTATCGCTGAGTCAGCAGCCAGTGCTACCAGTTCCTCAAATCCTTATGCCCCATCTTCCGCCCTGCCTACCCTGTGTGTTCTCCCAGCTCAGAGTGCCAGAGGCCAGACCTGCAGCTCAGGGCGCTGCTGCGTGGATCTATTTTGTAAAGCTGATGCCAAGCACTAACTTGAGACTTGGGGACATTGTCTCTTACTCCCACAGCTGTGAGTAGAGCCTTAGATTTTAACGGGGCTAATTAAAGACTTGGTTACAGTCAGAGTGAGAAAGGGTGGCAGAATCAGGCTAATTATATTAACGCTAATCAATACCACGGCCTCTGTTACCTAGCACTCTTACCTGCTTCACTGGAGAAATGTGAATTCTCAGAGTTAAGCAACATCGCCCCCTGCAGACAGAACATAGTGACATACCCTGGCATTTAAACACCACCCACATGCCCCACTGAACACCACTTTTATTTACGTGTAACTGTAAAACCAAGCCATGGGTATTTGAACTAGCCATACCTGCTCTTGGCCATGAGGACTGACCCTGGAATAAAGGAGGTGGGGATAGAAATGGCACTGCTTTGCACAGCAGTCTGTTGGGAACAGACAAAGCAACCCTGGGAAGTGAATCACCAAGACTACGTAGCCTTAAGGACAGATTTTACCAATCCTGACAGGTGCCTGATGGTTCTGTCTCTGTTGCTTACACTGGCATCATGTACAGCAGTTATTGTTCCAGTAAAGTCTCCCTGAGTTGTATTGCATCAGTAGGAGTCAACATAAGGACTAATGCTTAAATTACTAGGAGATGACAGCAATCTGAGGTCATCTGAGACCCTGCTGCAGACTCAGATGGCTTTTTCATAACCCTGGCACAAAGTACAGTTCCCTCCAGAGCTCCTGAGGGGAGCTGGCATCCAATCGCTTGGGTCATCAGAATAAAATGTAACATGTCTTGTTCCTCCTGCATTTCCTGCTCATGTTTCTTTCTTCTATTACAGGTTTGCAGAAAACAGGAGGTGACTCAGGCCCCTGATCCCTGTGATTGGGTGGGAGGAGGTGAGAGAGTTAGGGAACAAGTTAGCTGCAAAGTGAAAGGTGAAGGAGCCCCTGCCAAGTGGTGAATCATCAAGCAGTGAAAATAGATCTTATTCTTTATGGGCAATGCGTAGAAGAGGCTTAAGTGAGAAGCAGCTTGATTTGTTCAGTAAACTGTAGAAGCAGAGAGAGAAATGGACCATTTGCCATAGACGAGGAAGAGCTTCTTCACTAGCAAATGAGGCAGTAAATTGCAACCAAGCTGGAGTGCCATTCACTGAGGGTGAATCTGTCTTGGAGTCCCTAGTATTACTAGGGTTCCCTCAAAGGGATGATTGTAATTTGGGATCGAGGGGAGATTGGGAAGCCTTTCATTCCACTGAGGGGACAGGGTTGTTGTGAAAGAGACCTCCAGTGAGCTGAAGAAGCACAGAGAAAAAGTGGTGTAGATGGTGATGTAGGAGGTCATGGTAGGTGTTAATTGTGCTGATTTTCTTTTATACAATATCATCAGATCAATGTGCTACTTTGAACTTGTCCAAGCCATAACACCAGCTGTCTGCCAGAGTTTCATTGCAGATAAGTTATTTTTTTGGGCAGGTTATACTCACCACACCAACATGCCACTGACCTAGTTAGTGTTTTCCACAAATGCTGAGGAGATTTACAGAAGGCAGTGGCATCTTTGGAGTGCCTCCCCTTCTCTCCCATTTTCTGCTGTCTGGGTGTGTTGAGATATGGTGACTCAAGGGGCCTCCTAGCATGGCAGAGTTAATGCCTGCCCCATCCTGTGTAGGAGGTGGAGCCTGGGAATTATTATTACCTGTGGGGACCTGGTTCTCTTTGTCTGACCAGCACCATTATGTGTGATCTAAACCAGGTCCATTAAGGCCACTAGAGCCCAAGACACTAGGAGAGCTGTGAAGAGAATGGCAATTCCTTTTCTGGAGAATTTTGAAATTTGCTTGCAGTCTATTTCAGATAAAAACCTACAAATCACAAAATTCTCTGGGAAAGAAAAAACAAAAAATAATAATAAAAATGTTTTTTGCATCAGTCAGAACATTTTGTCAGAACTTGTTACAGTGTCCCAGTCTAATACAGAATAATCTCTTGCAAATAAAATGCTGTTTCAAAAGGAAAAAAAAAAAAAAATTAAGTCAGTGTATGTCAACAAGCCCAGCCCCTGGCTTCTTTACTTTTCATTCCATCCAGGAAGAGCACACACCAACTGCTGACGCTTCCTTAGCCTGACGAAGGGTTTTTGAACCCGAAAGCTTGCTTAATAACAATTCTCCAACCACTTGGGTTGGTCTAATAAAAGATATCAAATTCACCCAAGGAACCTTGTCTGCCTATGTCAACATGAGACATTTTGATGTTGCAATGTTTATTCTTCTTTTCCCGTTCTATATACATTTTCACTCAGATTGATAGAATTTGGTCGAATATTGCATTTTCAATAGAATTGCATTTTTTCCAATGGAAAATTCTCCACCAGGCTTTTCTGACCAGCTCAGTTTATCAGTCCTTCTTCCCACAGCTTCCCAGCTATAGCCATAGCCCATAGCTTTTGTGGCAAACCAGAGGCTATTCTGCCTTGTTGATCTGGAAAAGCCTTCAGTGCCCATCAAGATTTAGTCAGAGAGAGAAACAATTCCAGGCCTAACCCCATGTTATTGTTGCTGCATTTTGTATGCAGGGCCATGGCTTGGTTGGATCAGCACCAGAAATATGTAAGACCGCAATCCCCTTATTAACAACTCTGCTTCACACCACTGTCAGTCATACCAGATTACCAACAGCCCAGTCTCCCAGAGGGAGAGACCTTCATTTCTTCCCTCCAGTCCCACCACAGTGCTGTCTGTCCTTCTGAATCTTTGGTGGAACCAGAGCTTTACCACCTCCTGCAACAGACCATCTCCCTGGGAACAGCGTGATTCCTTTCAGCCTGTCTCCAACTCTTAGGAGACAGCAGCTAGTGGTCCTCAAAAGTTAGTTCTTAGGGCAAGGTGTTTCACAAAGCTCTTCAGGGCTTGTTGAATTGCAGTCTGGCTGCTTCTTTGGACTCCATATCATGCAGACATCTCCAACTGCAAGCTGCCGGCATGGGAGCTGGTACAGCTGAGTGGTTTTGTCTGGACAGCAGGAGGCCCATCCTCTGTCCTGAACAAAGAAGGGATATTCCTGGAGCACCTCCATACACACCTGGAGAGGAGGAGAATTGAGGCTGCATGTTATTATATAGGACAGCAACACTCGCTTCCAGATTGCTCCTGCTCTCCCTCCAGTAGCACAGGTCCCTCCACTGTGCCAGATGCTGTACAAATGCATAATGAGAGACAGGCCCTTTCCCAAAGAACTTAGTATCTAGATAGACATGACAGGCAAGGGGCTGGGAGGGAAAGGCACACTGAAGGGGAGAGACTTGCCCAAAGGCATGCAGCAGCTCCATGGCAGGGCAGAGAAGAGAACCCATACACCCGCATTCAAGTGACATAGTCTGGTTGCCTAAACAGGCAAACTCATCAAAACAGGAAGAGCTTCCCCAGTAGCACTGACCAGCTGGTACAGGGGACACTTGTTTAAGGGACAGCCCTGTGCAGCTCCTGAGGACTCTTGAGTTTTGTTCACTAGTCTGTCCTAATGGTGCCCCTGGCATCAGTAAAATGATTTTGCACTTCAGAGGGCCTGGTTTTTAGAAACACACTTGGTTCTTGGTCCCAAGGAGGTTAGCAGAAACTTGGTGTTCAACACCTCTGAACTAAGCAGGCCTTTAGGTTCCATGACCAGCCACTTAGGTCCTGACATGGCTGCCCTTCTGTGAGGCATGCAGGCTAAAAGGAAGTGTTTTGCTCCTGGGAACCAAGCCTGTGGTGCTGTTGTTGGGGAACTTTAGCACTGACTCCTCTTTCCACCCCTTTTCTCAGCCATAACCCACTTCTGGCATCTTGTGTCAGACTGAGACTGAAAGCCTCACAGCACTGAGTCCACATTTTATTCTGTATTTGTACCGGGTTGAAGCCCTTGAGGTCTGACTGCACTACAATAATAAATAACCTTTCTGTGCTGCCTTGAAACAATTTTCAGTTGCTAGGTGTCTTGGGTTCTCTGGGTATAAAAAAGGAGCTAATAATGGAAAATAATAATGTCCATCCCTATAGACATGCAACTTTCACTAACAAGGTTTAGTAAAGCATTTTGATTTCCTGAGATGATACCAGTGATAAAAGTGTGAAGTGTTATTAATTATGTTTCAGGTATTATCCAGGTTGTAGCTGTATTGATCTAGAGGAACAGACAATCAGGACTCATAGTAGAGATGATATCTTTTATTAGACCAGCAAGATTTTTGCAAATAAAGAATTTTTTTGGAAAAAGTCTTGTTGGTCTAGTACAGGGGTGGGCAAAATGAAGCCCACCAGGCCATTCTATCTGGCCCATGGGGCCCCTAAAAAAATTAGAAAATTAATATTTATCTGCCCCTGGCTGCCTATCATGCGGCCCTCAATGGCTTGCCAAAACTCAGTAAGCAGTTCTCTGCTCAAAATAATTGCCTGTCCCTGGTCTAGTAAAAGATATCATCTTTACTATGAGTCCTGATTAATTATGTCTAGCATTCATAGGCCTGTTCAAGGGAGTGAAGAGTTGGAGGTTACCCTGGTTAAACTATGATATTCTCTCTGGTATGGGATGTATTGACATTTTCTCTCTCCCCCTAGCAGATGAGGACAGTGCGAAGGAACTCTAGTACACACCTTCATTTCCTGTTTCCTGAGGTAGACTTCTACTGAGGCAAACCCAGCATGATGACTCTTCTGTATCAGTCCCACCACGCAGGAGCTGAGCTGGAGCTCAGGGCTGGCCTCTGGACACTTCAGGAAGTCCTCCAGTTGTAAGTCTTCTACTCTCTTCTGCTCCCCGCTAGCTAGCACAGCGAGGGAGCCCCTCGTGAAGTGAGGCAGCATGAAAACAGTGCTTAGTGTAGGG